TAAGCTATTGCTTGTAGCTCTGCACTTCTAGTACCACCATTATTACTTGATGATACACTGAATCCTTTATCCATAACATTTGTATCAGTAGCTGAATCGTTATTAACTTGAACAGTAAGGCCATTAGCCACAGCTTCACAAGAGAAGACAACAGTAGAGTTGAGTGTTGTATTAATAGACACTGGCTGAAGCGTTATATCTATAGTAATATGAAATACTTGAATATGAAACGATACATACCAGCACAATCAGTGTACTGTAGCAAAAGAAGGAAAATTAGATTCACCCTCGGATCATAAATACTGCTCGGATTCACCATTCTTAAAAAGGGCGTGACTTTGTCTAACGCTTAGTTTAGTACATAGAGTCTAGAAACCATAGACAAACGTTTTATATAGAAACTGCTCGGAAAATGATTGTTTTATCTCGAATTTTAACCTTCATCCTTATTCTTCAGTTGAGAAATTGTGCAGCAAGTAAGTATAATTTGCTACAGTGAGTAGAATTAAATATAAAATAATTTAGATATATTAACGCTTCAGCCAGTGTCTATTAATACAACACTCAACTCTACTGTTGTCTTCTCTTGTGAAGCTGTGGCTAATGGCCTTACTGTTCAAGTTAATAACGATTCAGCTACTGATACAAATGTTATGGATAAAGGATTCAGTGTATCATCAACTAATAATGGTGGTACTAGAAGTGCAGAGCTACAAGCAATAGCTTATGAACACAATAATAATACTGAAGTGAGATGTAGAGCTGTTACTTATGAACCTCCTGAAATAGTATTCAGCAATACATCAATATTAATGATACAAGGTATTGTATAGTTATTATAATTATCATATTATTTTCTCCTCCAGGTCTATTGGATAGTGTTGTTGATCTGGATTATACCTTTATTAATGGATCCAGTGTATTATTAACATGGACAGCTCCTTATACACTGGATAATGTACCTATCACTGGATACTATATAGTCAATGGATTAGTGAACATTACTACTACTAACAAGAGTATTATATTATCAGCTACTAATCCTGATCCTTGTATATTAAATAATGTATCAGTTTCTCCTATTAATGATGTTGGAATAGGTTCATCTAATAATATCAGTTTTTATTATGAAACAAGTTAGTCCTACTATCATGTACAAAATTACTCAATATTTTCAGTTTCTGCCAATGTTCCTCCTGTTTCCGTGGTACCTGCAGTTGCTGGACAACAAATACCAATGAATATCAGTATTAATGTAAGTAAACGCATACTCTCACAGTCTATAAACTTTATCTCAAACAATTAACTCTATGATGTGTATACCCTATAGGTCAGTGAGTTATGCATTGGTGAATATCCTAACAATACAACAGTTATTATACTGAATATTAATAACAAGATACAAGATAGTACCAGTATACCAACACAAGTTAATGATCAACTGATGATTACTGGAGTAATAACTGTACCTAATAATTTAAATACATTTATTGTTAATGTATCACTG